GAGTGGGGCTGCGTGGGGTGCCGCAGGGTGCCCGGGGTCTGTCCGGAGGCTGGCTGCGGGGTGGGGAGCATTGCACGGTGGCTTCGCCGTGCCCTTGCTCCGGGGGTAGCCTCTGCAGCTGCCAGGGTTATGCAAGTCCTTTATGAGCCCGCAGCCTAATCGGCAAGGCTGCACCTCCTGTAAAACTGCCTGCATATTGAAATCGGGGCTGCGTGGGGTGCCGCAGGGTGCCCGGGGTCTGTCCGGAGGCTGGCTGCGGGGTGGGGAGCATTGCACGGTGGCTTCGCCGTGCCCTTGCTCCGGGGGTAGCCTCTGCAGCTGCCAGGGTTATGCAAGTCCTTTATGAGCCCGCAGCCTAATCGGCAAGGCTGCACCTCCTGTAAAACTGCCTGCATATTGAAATCGCCGAAATCCTTACCGGAGGTGTAATTGCAGAGGTGACATATCGACGGGCACTCCAGCACCGAGCCTGCGACTCATCCCTTCCTCCTTCTGCTGCAGGTATGGGCCATCCTCCGCTGGAGTCCCACCTGGCCGCAGCCAGTGCTGCGCACCTGAGGACCAAGCGATGTTCCTGCAACAGCTGGCTGGATAAGGAATGCATTTACTTCTGTCACCTGGATATCATCTGGGTCAACACACCTGGGTAAGCACAAATGTAGCTTTCGGGGGGGGGTGGCTCTGTTGATGTGACTGTACTTTCTGATCGGGGATGGGGTTAGGTTGGAGGAAGGTGAGAAAGGGTCCCAGTGCTGTGAGGCTCTTGTAGCACCTGCTCTGGAGAGCGCTGCAAGTCCAGTCCTTTCCAACATCTAGAAAGGGACAAGCTCTGCTTCTGCTCACGAGTTTCAGTATAACCCAGAGGGGAGGGGGGTGAAAGCACAGGGCACTGCCTCCTCATGGGTTCATCTTTTTCGGAGATTTGTACCTTTGCAAGCCGAAAGCAACACCAAGATGTTATAGCTGCAAGTCAGAAAGTTACTCTACCCGCTTGCAAACTGTAACCCTGACGGCCGACTGCCAGTATTGTTAATGAGACAGTGGTGGGCTGGCACTAAAGTCCTGTGTCTGCCAAGTCCTGCCCTCAAGAATGCTAAAGCAGCTTTCCGAGCAGTTTCAGACCAATGGCCATCACACTGTAGCAAAACACATGTACTCAGGTGTGGTTATAATCATGCTTGCTAACGTGCAATTACAACTCACTGCTTGCTCAGAGAATAGCTGCAGTCACTGCCAATCCTAAACCCTCTGGGAGAGTAGATTGCGATCAAAGATGGAGTGGGAATGTGCTAACAGCTCTGAAAGCATGCTGTGATCAGAAGAACCTGTTATGGCCCCAAGACATCTTGATTTGTACTATGTCCTGTGTGTTAAAACCCGCGGGGGGAGGGAAAGCCCTGACATCTCTGTGCTTGGGGAGCTGGCTGCTGCTGGGGCTGGTGGACTGGGGCAGCCACACTCCTCCTGTGCTTTGCCACCCGGGTGAACTGCCAGCTCGCCCAGCCCATGCGGCGACCCTTGCACGGGCGCCTGGGCTGCTGCAAGAAGAGAAGATTCCAACTGCAACCCAGCACATACTGGCACAGCAATCTCACTGGGAGGGGTAGGGTGGGGAAAACAGTAGGTGGGAGAGGAGCTGGAGTTTAAAGGCTTAGACATATCAGTGACCTTTTCACCTTATGTCCATAGATGAGTCTTTTATTATCCTGGCACTGGCTTGGCTGCCTCCCAGGACTGTGTTATAAACCTGTTGGCTAATAAAAAGTTAGTTGCATAGCTGATTTCTTTTGTTTTTAACAGACACACCGCTCCCTATGGCTTGGGAAGCCCGCCAAGGCGGCGCAAGAGATCGCCGAGCAGGTGCGAGTGCTCGCACTCGAGGGACAACATCTGTGCCACCTTCTGCCAGGTGAAGCCTGGGTAAGTCAAGGGGGTCCTGGGGACGTCCCTGGGGGCTGCTCGGCGAGGGTGCAAGCAGACAGACAAAGCTGCGGAGCTGGAATAACTCTACAGCCTCCTTGGGGATGGCTGCGCAGCTCTTTGCAAACAGCTGGAACTTGTCTAGTGGCTTTCATACCCCTCCCAAGAGGCCCTGGCAAAGAGCCACTAGGGTGTTTTTGTGGTACAATAGTGTCTTTACTAGCTGATATGAAGCAATGTTACCTCCATCCCTCCTGATGCCAGGAGGCTGAGGAAGTGCTGGGTGCGCTGGTGGGAAGGGAGGAGCTGGCAGCACGCTGGGAGAGGGACAAGCGGAGGGTGTGAAGCTTTGGGACACCAGTGTCTCCTGCATGGCTCAGGTGGGAGAGGCTGCAGGAGAGTAGGACTGCTGAGAGCTGGGACTCAGAAGTCAAGTATCTTCTGTACCCGGTTCTTTTTATAGTGCACGTGGGCTCTCAGTTGTCTCGCTTCAGCCAGCGGTATAGGAGTGCTTACACTGTGGGGAGGTGGGGAGCAAAGTCACTGTAGAGATCTGTCATTAATTCCATCTCAAGGCAATAGTTAAAATCCCAAATGATTAAATATGACTGAATAAAGCGAGGACAGAAGTAAAAGTGAGCTATAAATAGCTCTCAAATAGCTGCAATTAACCCTTCAAAACCATGCATTCAACTGTCTTAGTCTGCCACTGGTGACGTTAGAGCAGTACCCCCTGGTACTTACCAGCGGATATGAGTGCTTCATGCATCTCCTCTTGCTCGTTAGGTACCTCCAGAGTCTGAAGCTCCCAGTGAGTTCTGGAGCATCAATGAAGTCTCCGCAGAGCGGTGGCGTGAGGCCTTCCCATCACGGCCTGCTGAGAGCTCTCAGGTGAGCATGCCACTTAAACCTGTTCTGAACTTCCCTCATTACGCACTTTAAAATCAGCGGTTGTGACCCCAGACTGCAGTTGCTGCTTGGATTTGACCTGACTTCCCCCTCTTGTCTCCCTTTAAATGAGTAGGCTATTTCTGCTCTCTGTAGAATTGAAGGCTAACAGCTGAGGGAACCAGGGTTGCTTGTGTCCTTCCAAAACTAGAGGAATATTACATAAAATGTAATTCTTGATTGGAGTGGGAAGTTCCTCTGATATGGGACAGGCAAATGGGTGATGTACAAGAAGGGAGGGAGGGACGTCATCATGTAGGAAAGTGACTGATTGGGCAGCTGCTTTAGACCAAAATAGCTTTTCTCACATCGCATCAGTGGGTTGTGGAACTTACTGCTGGAAGAAACTGGGGACTCCGGGAGTGTAAATGAGTTAAAGGGAGTTGGCAAATTGAAGGAGGATTGGTCCACTGGTGGCAGTTAAATCAGATGCAATGGGAACAATTTCTGAAAGGCAGATCTTGGGGAAGCATCACTTGGGTCATGCCCTGCTGCAGGAGTCCTTGAAGCCTCTGCCACTGGCCACTGGTGGAAAGGGGATATTGGGCTAGATGGATCTCCGCTGTGGCTTAATACAGCTGCAGCTAGAAATTGCCCCTCTTCCTTCTTCTGTCTTCTGCCTCAGAAAAAAACTTGGCAAGGAGTGAATAAATATCGTAATACAGGCTGTTGCTGTGTAGTAGGAAAATGGACTGGAGGATGAAGGTAGTGTCTCTTCTGCTTACAGGGATCTTGCCGTGTCCAGTCTGCGGTTCGGCAAGCATCAGCACCGTTCTGAGAGGAACGCACAGCCAACAGTTTTGCCTTGGAAGAAAAACATCTGGAAGAAGAAGAGATAAGAAAGAGGTGCATACCAAGTTCACCAGAAGAATTTGGAGTCCTGTGGGTGCCACTAACTCCGCTGTCGGTAGTTAGAGCTGAAGGAAAGGCCATGGAAGGGGGAAGAAGTGGAAGTCTCCATGCTCCTGTTGCGTGAACCAGTACTGCATGCACTCCAGAGACTGTTGTAAAGGGAAAACTGTCTCTCTATACAGTCATAGATGTGTCGTGGAGCTGAATTGTGCCTTTTTGGATCAGGCGAGGGTCCTACTGGTAGAGTACTAGCTAAACTCTGCACTGGAGTCCTGGGCAGAGGGTCAGCCCGCGCTGGGCGGTTGAATCACTTACAAACCAGACGGCTCTGTGCAGTTCTGGACCTGGCAGCACTGAGCCCGTACCACTGGCCTGGTCTGCTCTGCCTTTGAGCCACGTTTGAGCATGGTTCCAGCTTGGCCCCATTCAGAGGTGGTTTGGTGGGGATAAACTGCCTCCAGCGTGACCTGCCTGAGCCCACCTTTGCACTTTTTTCTCTTACTTGTCAGACAGTGCGATGTGCGTATGAATGAGACTCCCACGGTAAAACAGCTCCCAATCTTTTATTAAAATAATATATATCATCTAGAAGCCTGAAAGCCAACTGAGTAGTCAGTGGCATTCTTTGGCTGAGAAATTCACTGAAGGGCCGTCCTTAAGTGGCTCTTGTTTAGGTGGAGGATAGTTTGCTTACACCAGAGCTTGCATCAAATCCAAGCATGATCCCTGCCATCAGGCACAGCAGCAGCAGGGGTGGGGAGGATGAAGTGGAGCTGAAATTCTGCAGGAGCCCCGTGCATGCAGCCCCGCGTAGCCTGGGGGAGGGAGCCCCGCTGGGTCCGAGGCAGAGCCGAGCTGCTAGTCTGCATGAGTTCCGTGCTGTGGATCTGTCTCATCTCCTTGGACATACCCTTAGTGGGGTAGAGTACTTCCAGCTCTTATCCTAAAATCCCAGCTTGCTTTCAGCTCTGCCTGAAAGGAAAGGCTAGGGGCAGAGAAGATGGGTGGTGGGAAAATAGCACGCAAAGGCTTGCTTGCTGCTTCGCTTAGGTCAGGTCTCTGAGTCAGACTTTATATAATAAATGATCAGTATATGGATGGCATGTCACTATGAGAAGCATAACCCGAATAGAGAATGCATTAGGCAAGGGGCAGCCAGGTGGGATTGATGTGGAGAAAAGGATTGCTGAGAAGAGAGCACAGCACCGTCTGCACAGCTTTAGAAGAAAGGCTTGGATTTAAACTCATGCCAGAATCATGGCTGCTTCCCCAGGCCTGGAGCAGCACCGTGCTGCTGGCCCAGAGGAGGGAAGGAATAATTTGGAAAAAGCACTGAGCCCAGGACCTGGAAACCAATCTTGTAGGCAAACACAATCTCAAGGCTCTGGAGCTGTATCACAAATGCACTTTTGTTTGCCTGGGCAGATTAACTTCTATTATAAATGGTGGCTGCAGCTGTCGTCTGGTTTGTGCAGATAAATAATTGCTCTCCTGGAACCACTGTTGGGTCCCCCTTGCTGCTCAATCCAGTATTACACATGAGCATTTAAAAAGTCTGCTTGAAGTTGTTGGTGGACCAAAATCTGTGGCTGTTGCAAGTGTAGTCCCATTGGATATACAAAATACTTCCTTGATTTTGCCCTAGAGGGGGGAAAAATGAGACCAATTGATTGTATCATAAATGAAACAGGAAACTAATCATTTGGTCCCCAAAGCTGCAGAGAAACTTTTTTATATTTGACCTTCTGAAGGTTTGAGTTATTCTAAAAAAAATCCTGAAAGGGTTTGTTCCAGAGTAAACTTTGCACATGGTTTAATGTGAGCCTAGTAATTTAAAATAAAACTACTGCTGTAAAGACCTATGTATATCTCCTTGTGTGTATAATGTCTCATCTTTAAGTGACTTATTGCACACATGCCATATGTAGCATCCTGAAATCTGTATATTTATTTAAATCTATTGATTTTTTTAGACAGTAATGTGCAAAATTTAATTTGTAATAAATAATGGCAAAAGTCAATACCATTTTTCTTCCTTATTTGATGGCTGGGTGTTGTGGATGAAGCGAAAGAAGCCCAGTTGGCCAAAAGCACTGTGAAAGTGAGTGGGACAGCAAAGCTGGGCGAGAATGGGGAGTTCTTGTGAACAGTCCTGAGCGAACTTCAGTCCTTAACTTAAAATAAGTACCTTGTTCCTTTCTAGATGTCTATGGGAACATAGATGTGAAACAATCCCCAACCTGTTGTACTTATGGCTGTGGACGCTGAGACCAGCTTGAATCCTTGTGCCAAGGGATCCTGTTAATGTTTTCGCATGGTTTAGTCCTTTGCCTCAAATCCTCTTAGCAGCTCTGTGACTGTGGGTGTCAGCATCGCAGGGACAGAGCAACCACACACCCTCTCCTGTGCCCACTAACTTTTAAATCGGCGTTTTGCTGATTGATTGTATTTTTTTTTTTTTAAGTACAGTTAAAAATTCATCATCCATTTGATAGTCGTCTTTGCATGAAGACCACACCATAGATTATTCTGGTGTAATTAACTCAGTGAATCTCACGGCGCAGCTGTGAGAAGGGGATAAAAAAGAAACATTAATGTAATAGCTAGCGCTGTGCATGCTGCATACCCAGAAACCATAGCACTTCCTCGTGGGTTTCCATGGCTTCCTGGGAACAGTAGTTGAGAGAGGTACAGCCCCATCCTTTCCTATTACCCAGCTTTCTTGACTGAGCTGCATCCCCCTTGGCCAAGCCTCCACCCTGTGACTTGGTGTTGGATTGTGCAAAAATCATATTCCTTCAGACGTTTCTATGACAGTAAGTCATAAATTCTATGACTTTAATGATAAAGGTCTATGTGCTGGTTTTGGCTGGGATAGAGTTAATTTTGTTCATAGTAGCTAGTATGGGGCTATGTTTTGGATTTGTGCTAAAACCAGTGTTGATAGTACAGGGATGTTTTCGTTATTGCTGAGCAGTGCTTACTCAGGGTCAAGGCCTTTTCAGCTTCTCATGCTCTACTGACTGAGAAGGCTGGAGATACACAAGAAGCTGGGAGGGGGCACAGCCAGGACAGCTGACCCAAACTGGCCAATGGGATATTCCATACCATATGATGTCATGCTCAGTATATAAACTAGAGGAAAGCTGGCCAGGGGACTGCTGCTCGGGGACTGGCTGGGCATTGGTCGGCAGGTGGTGAGCAATTGCATTGTGCATCACTTGCTTTGTATATCCTATTATTACTATTTTATGTTATTTTATTTCAATTATTAAACTGTTCTTATCTTAACACACAAGTTTTCTCAC